AGTTAGAGGTCTTGCAGAGCTCTGCTGATCGTCATTAGAAGGTTCAGCGCACCCCCTTCCTCTTACTAGCCCCAAGAACCAATCATAAAGAGTTCCAGCATTTTTCCAAATTATCTCCAGGATTTCCCCCCTTTATGTTTAGGCAGGAACACAGCGAGTTTGTGCGGATATAGATTTTAAGGGTGGTATATGAAGGTAGGAGGAAAATAATGTTGAAGAAGACTAAATATATCGATGTGGGCTTACTAAACCAAGGCTCTGAATTCAGTAGTTTCATTTCAGAGGTTAAAGGAGCTTTTGACAGCTTGTTGGTTAGTGAGCAACAATATAGCCCAAGCGTGATTTATTCTAAATTAAGGACACATCTCAGACAGGACTTGACCTACTCACAGAAAGATAATCTGAAATTGACATAATTCTGCAATGTTAGAGTGGTTTGACTGCACAAAGAACTGCTTGGCCACCTTGGGATGCCCTGAGGATGTGACTTTATAAATGATTTTGTAAGGAGAGCACAGGTACATCTCTAATGACTGTTGTGTTTGCCAGAAATTGCTGTGGCTTTGTCCTTGAGGAAGAACCAGGCATGCTACAGTGAAAAATGATTACTCTGTTAATTGTTGTTCCCAACCCATGCCAAATGGACCTATAATCAGTTACTAGATTAATGATGTGTTGTAAAGGTAGGCACATTATTCAGGTGTCTCCAGAGAAATCTGAACATACTGGGTGGTAGGGAATCAAGGACAGACTGGCTGTAGGTTCATGTTGCAAAAAACCCTTCCAGTGTCCTCTGAGATCCCAAAGAAGTTCCCCCAACCCAACTCTGCCTTGTAGGCCTAAACTCTAATCAGACTTCCCACTATGCTGTCTGCCTACCTATGGTGCTGGGGCTAAACTTCGCTTAGGCCCTGGCTGTGCTACTGGTTGTATGTCCATGGCATTAATAAGTCTTTTAGGAAAATCAATGCTCAAAAGGATGTTTCACCATAATATGACCCCCATGAACACCCAAAGCAGACTGTTTACTCAGCATGACTGGATGACTCCAAGCCATGTCAAGAAGATGCTGTAGTTTGAATGTGTTCCTTGAGGTTTACTTCCTAATGCAACACAGTTGAGAGGTATAACTTTTTTCTGGTGTTGAAGATAGAGCAACATCTCCAGACCGGATGTAGAGCTTCTAAGATGAGATTATATCATGAGGGAATCTCGATTCCTGGATGGATTGTCAATGTTAGAGTGGGTTAGTAATCATCAGAATAGGTTGGTTTTAAAAGTGAGGTTGTTTGGATGAGGTTGGCTAATTGCTGGCACACATATTTAGTGCCAGCACTTAGGAGGGAGATTTCTTCAAGTTAAGGCCAGACTGGTCTACATAATGCATACTAGGCCAGCCAGGGCTACATCATGAGACTCTGTCTCAATATAATAAAGTAAAATAAAACAGAGTGAGGATGGCCGTCTTTCAATCCTTCTAGCCATACACTTCCTTCTGGCATGTTGTGGTGCAGCAAGAAAGACTTCATCAGATGTGAGCTCCTGACCTTGGACTTATTAGCCTGTAAAACTGTAAGAAGTAAATCTCAGCTCCTTCTAAAATTCCCAGTGTTAAGTACTCTGCTGAGGAAACAAAAAATGTTTTAAGACTGGAGCAACCTACTCGTCAATCTAGTTCAGAACTGTGACAGATACACTCAAAAATAATGTTGTATTTGGGCACCCCCACAGTGCAGTCAAACAGAAACAAAATTATCATGGGAAGTCATCAGAATTCCGAGATTATTTGATACCATCTCTGGAGTAACACCCATTTCCATAGAAGCAAAATGCCACTGTGGCTCATGGGTGAGAGTAGAGATCATATGATCAATTCAGCTGTACTTACTTATATCCATCTCTGATTGGTCCTGAACTTACCCTTCAGTTATTAATAACCTAACTCAGAAAGCTATCACTAGAATAGACATTCAGAAAATGGCAGATTTCATATATTGGTCCTGTGACCTTCTGAGAAAGAGCCATTTCAATATGAAAGGCCTAGTGGAAAGCACTAGAATTGCATACATACAGTAATAGCAAATTAAAAACGACACTTCATTCATAGAGGGGATTGTGGTGCTTTGTGAAACCATTGACAATTAAAGATGCAGGTTTTTGATCCTCATACCATGCAGCTCAGAGAATGATCACAATGACGATAACTGCAATCAGCTGATTATTTCAGGAATCAATGTGATTCTCTGTGAGGCTTCCTTGTTTTTACAATCAATGTGTTCCTGGGCACCTGATGGTCACAAGGACAAGTTTGACTTTACTTGAAAAGTCAATGTAGCATCATTTTGTGTGTGCAAGCATATGTGAAGTATGTACATACTTGTTCATGTGTGTGTGCATGTGTGTCTTTCTCAATCACTCTCTGCCTTAGTTTTTGAGGCAGCATTTCTCGGTGAACATGAAGCATGCCAATTCATCTGGGCTGGCTAGCCAGAAAGCCCCACGGATACTCCTATCTTCACCAATGCAGCAATGGGATTATTGGTGTAAGTCACTGTGTCTGGTTTTTGTGTTGGTTCTGGAAATCTGAACTCAGGCCTTCGTATTTGTACTTCAAACACTTTATTCATAGAGACATTTCTCCATGCCCCTGTATCACTTCTTACCTCAGGCTTACATCATAAAGCAGTCCTTAGGGATCTTGATTACCAACATATAGCAGCATTCCTTTGAATTGGTGCATTATTCTTATTGAGCAGGAAATGGATACCAATCCAGATACCCTGGCAGCACACTTGCTGGATATAACATGAGAAATCATTCTGAAACAAAACCAGGGCCTTTGCAATGAGTGACACTTTGGTGATCATATATATAATCTAAGGCATATCAAGATAGTTCTTGTAACATGAACAAATACCTGAATCTTGGCTTTAACAGGGGACACAAAAACAATTTACCTCAGGGTTGTGTGGTGCAGTGTCGAGCAAGAATCTACTAGTTTGGAGCAGGGCCCAGAAAAAAAGTTTTTCTTGTATAGCATCTGTGGCTTCAGGAATAGTTCTCTGTGGCCAGTTGATAAGGAAAACAAGAAAACAAGCATGCTAAAAAAATCATGTGTGACTTTAATTACTAACAACATGTAGGCAGAACCTATGTTGGTTTCTTCACTGCTACATAACAAACTACTCTCACCCAACAGCTTAAAGCACCAAAATATGTAAATGAACAGTACTGTGGGTCTCTAGTGGGAGTCACACAAAACCAAAGGTGAATTTTCAGTCAAGCCCTGACTCACTGGAGACCTCAAGATAAATCACTTTCAAGCTCTTTCTGGTTAGTGGCAAGTCCAGCTTCTCAAGGTTGTATGCAGGACAAAACAACATTGGAAGTTATTAGGGCCACACCCATAATCTTTGGTGCACATTCCTAAAGCTCCCACACTGTCACAGGACATCACCGTCATGGTGTCAGGTTGGATATTTCATACTAGCCTGTGAAGATGAACTTCCAAGATCAATCACACTGCTCCTCACAGTCTCCTCACAGGGGAAATGACAGTGACACTATACAAGATACTACATCCCAGAGTGAATATTTGGCTTCCAGGTGGCAGGCCAATGATTTTGGAAACTGACCAAAAGTAGGAGAAGGGCAGATTTGTTCTTACTCTTACACAGAGATTTATTTAAGGCACAGACTTCCTTTCCTAGCCATATTATCAAGAGACTGCCAGCACTCATGGACCTAGGAAATGACTTCCTGACTATTATGGCTCGTTATACAGCAAGGTCGTTAAATTGGGAGATTGTATCTAGTGTGCATGTTCTTGACATGCACTGCCTCATTGTGTTTCCTACAACTGGAATAGACTGGTTCGAAATGGAGGTGAAATGATATTTTTTACAGCCTTATTTAGTCTGGGCTAGCCTTGAAACTAGCATTGTTAGCCAATAAACTTCAAAACCTGATCCTCCTGCTTTTCCCTCTGAAACTCTGGGATGACAGGTGTGTGCCAACATTCTTAGCTAAAATGACTATGTTTGAAGAGTTGCCTGTGTTTCTAGCTAATGGCACAGCCTGTGGAATTGGATAGGTAGGTGGCAAGTCTCTCTTTTGCTACCAAGTGTTTGGAGCAGTTTGTATCACAGCCTTGTTTATGTCTTTGATGATGAAGGGAGTAATTTGAGGATCCAACTCCACCTGTTACTCCTAGGGATATAACACTGAACTCGTGTTTCCTATCTTGACAGTTTTAGACACTGTTAGATCACATTTGCAAGAAGATGCCAAAATGGATCCATTGACATGGAAGTGGAAATAAAAAGCTCATCACTATGGAAACCACATCTTTCTCGATCAACAACCATTTGGGGGAGGATTCCATAACTTCTGGAATAATACTTGGTTATCACATGATACTTGAATGCACTCCAAGGGTTAAGGAGGATGGTGTGAAAGGAGTGGAGTCCCTCTTAGTACTCCTGTGCTTTGTCATTAGAGGTGATGGACATTTCAAGAAGCTCATTTTGCCCAGGGCATGGAAAGGCCCATCCCAGATGGTTTGTAAAAAGACTTGGAGATAGCTTACTAAGTCAAGCACCAGGACCTGTTGAGGGGCTATCTCTGAACAATGGGAATAAGAGATGGTTGGGACACCAGGTATAACAGCACACACTTTTTAACCCAGTACTCAACAGACAGAGCCAGGCAGATCGTTGTGAGTTCTACATAGAGAGTTCCAGGACAACCAGAGTTATACAGTGAAGCCCTGTCTCAGAAAACCACCACCAACAAAACAACAATCAAAAAACAAAACCAACCAAACAAAAAACCCAAAAGCAATACTTGGGAAAGTTCTAAATGCCAGAGATGACACTGGTGACTTGCTTCAGAATATAGGCTTGTCATAATATTTACCTGATGAGACAATAACATCACCCAGCAGAGGGGATAGAAAAAAAAATCAACAAACCAAAAGTTATGCTTTCAAACAAAATGCATAAAGAGAAAGCCCATCTTTTATTCAAAGTAGTTTAAGACAGTTTTCGTAGAGGTAATTATCTTAGCTAATACATAATGGGAGGCTTCAGCATCTCCCTGCTACATTCAGGAACACATTAAAATATATGTTGTATCTTTCTGACCACGGGAATAACAGGATCACACACTTGGGTTTAGATCATTGTTCTTGAGAGAGATTTCTGACATTAACTTTTCCAGTATCTCCTCAAGATAATGTATTAAGTGACGTCTTTTAAATCTGGAAATAAACACAAACATTGTGTAAAAAAATGATACCCAAAGAACCTGTGCAGTAGGAAGTGCTGTGCGACCCAAAGCAGGGGCTCACCCATTGTGGGAATAGTCAGTACATCCCAGGTACAGGTGTTCTAGGCAATATGAAGGTTGTCTACTGAGGATCAGTGCCCAGCTCAAGACTACCCTGACAAAGGAGGGTTGAGTAGGCCCGGAAGGATGTGTCCAACGCAAGTGACATCAACCTAAATGTCTACACAACCAGCCTTAACTATAAAGTTGGGGCCAGGGACTGAGAAACTCCAAGCAGGTGCTGTTCTCCACCCCTCACCCAACCACTGTGTGAAGATGTATGGTCCTGCTGTGCACCTACCTTGCCGCTTCCTTGATGGTAAACTCAATAAACTGTTTCCGGACTTCCAGAGGTCCCTGTACTTCTTCAAGCAGCTTGAAAATCCTTCCATATTCTGGAGAGAATGTAAGCATAGTTGAGTATTTCTCAGAAATGAAGAAATGGGACTGGATCTCTGGGGATCTGTGTGTACCTCAGTAATATGCTTTATGGTCAAGAATGCTAAACGGTGTGTATGTGTTCTAAATGCCTCTGCACAGAGATGGACACAATCCTTATGAGCAACGACCAAGCAACATTACAAATAAAAGATGGAGTCTCCTGAGATGTTTCAGTGAAGAGTGACTGTAGTCAATTATACAGAAAACCTTGGTGGTGGCAAAGGCTCTCTCTCCTGAGGCAGTTTCAGGTTATTCTAATCATACAACTAGAAACACCTGCCTTGTCTGTGTTACTAACCATTTTTTGAGTACTTACGGCGCCCATAGCGTCGGATTTCTGTCCTCAGAGCATGTTTTATTTCATAATTAGTGATAGTTGAGTTCCGTGGGGACACAGAGGGGCCAGCTTCTGATGAAGGTGTTGCTGGTGCATTAGCAGTGCTTGCAGAGTCGTCACAGCTAACACTTCCCCCTGCAACTGTGACATCATCTTTGCGGTGAAGAGAGTCCTCAGTCAGAGAACCTTGTGGACTGGGGAGAATGGCTTCTCCTGCCGCAGGATTAAGCTGGTTTTGATCATATTCTTTCAGGTAGACTTCAGGTGACTTGGAATCACCCTCCATCATCCCCACCTGGGCTTTCTGGATGACAGTAGCACCTGGAAAGCAAAGTAGCAAATGGAGCTTTGAAGTGGGTGAGTCCAATGGCTCCACATAGGCATCTCTGTGCTCCTCAGGACCTAAACTTATTGCAGAGGAGGAGAGTACACCAGAGGAAAATCTCAACCATGACAAACTGACCCCACGGTAAAGTATAGAAGAACGCAACCTCATACCTGAGGCTCCATGATCATATGCACTAACTAGTTGGACAGGTCAATGAAGAAACAACATACGTCCCTGGCACTCTCATCTTTGTGTCATATTGATATACTTTACAAGTTGAAAAGCGAAAGATGTCACAGATGTCAAAATGTTAGGTGCACACCTTCACAAAAAAATTGCATCTATAGGTGACTGCTCATCACTTCAGTGTCAAGGTGAATTCTTTTTCCTCTCCCTCTGACACCTCTGTGTCAAATTCATTCATGTTCTGTTGTGCCCAGAATTTGCCAGGTGCTAGTAGGGATCATCTGTGAATATGGAAGACAGTAATGTCCCCCTGCTCTGAAGGAATTTACAGTGTCATGGAGACATCGGAGAGAAACCACACACTCGACTATCCTCATGTAGGGGAAGAAGTCAACAGAAATGTGAGAGAAAGCAGCAGAGATGCTCACAGGGCCACTAGCTTGGTGCTCCCCATTGGAGGGGTCCCTAAGCAAAATGGAGGAGACTGCACAGATGCCAGCGTGTAGTGTGAGCCAGGGAGAGGGGCATAAGCATTGTGTGGTAAATAATAGAGTATAAAGGTGCCTAGGTGAAAGGTGTAATAACTCTTAATTTGTGGCTAAGAAGAAAGCCAGGAATTTGGTCAAATAATGCCACAATGAAGAAAAGGAGGATCTGGGGTGATCTCAGATATATTGTTGTCACTATTAAGGTTCAACTAAAATTTAAGGGAAAAACTGTCTGAATGCTTTTAAGTGGTGTTATTAATAATTAACAATGGAAGGGGACAGGATCTCCTGAGCTAATTGGGAGCATGAGGGTAGGGGAAAGGGATCTGGGAGAATGAGAGGAGAAAAGGAGGGGAGAGGAGGACATGGAGGAGCAGCAAGGTTGAGTGGGGGGAAGAATGAGAGAGAGCAGGATGAGAGATACCATATCAGAGGGAGCCAGTATAGGTTCAAGGAGAGATCTGGCTCTAGGGAGATTTCCAGAGATCTACAAGGATGGCATCAACTGGCAATCTAAACAATGGTGGAGAGGATACCCTAAACGCCCTTTCTCTATAATGAGACTGATGACTACTTTATATGCCATTCCAGAGCCTTCATCCAGTGGCTAATAGAAGCAGAGGCAGACATACACAGCTAAACACTGAACTGAACTCTGGAACTCAGTTGCAGAGAGGAAGGAGTGAAGAGCAAAGAGGTCAAGACAGAGCTGGTGAAACCCACAGAATCAGCTGATCTGAACAAGGGGGAGCGCATGGACCCCAGAATGATGTCTGGGAGGCCAGCACGAGATTGATCCAGACCCCTTGAATGTAGATGTCAATGAGGAGGCCTCGACACTCTATAAGGCCTCAGGTAGTAAGTTGATCAGTATTTATCCCTGGCGTAAGAAAGGACTTTGGGAGCCCATTCGACGTGGAGGGATGCTCCCTCAGCCTGGACACATGGGGGAGGGCCTAGGCCCTGCCCAGGAGGATATAACAGACTTTGGGGATCCCCCATGGAGGACCTAACCCTCTCTGGGGAGCAGAGGGAGGATGGGGTGGGGGGCTAGTGAGGGATGGGGCAGGAGGGGAAGAAGAGGGAGACGAGATTGACATGTGAAGCAGGTTTGTTTCTAATTTGAACTAATAAAAAATTTTCTTGGGAAAAAAGAATAATTAACAATGGCAAAGGTGTAGTGGACTTAAGCCCTAGGAAAAATAATGATGACACAAATGAAGGCACTGGGCATTTATCCCAAATCATAAAGCCTCAGGGTACAATTGTATGTCAGAATTACAAACTTGGAATTTTAGAGAAATAATCTGTTATTCTATATAACACTTGCCAGTATACTCTTGTGCAGCACTCTATAAACAAATATTGGTACATGTAGCAAAATGGGTATGCACTTTTTTTTATAGGGATAAGTGAAGTCAAAACAGAAAACTCTTCATGTTAGTTTATGTAGGTTTTAATGTCAAATCTTTAAAAAGAGGTTTTTGTTTTTAGAGCTTTTGGAGTTTGAAACTACACATAAGGGATTATGACTGTGCATAAGAATGCCACAGATTAAAAATACACAGAAAATAATAAATATGGGGAAGAACACATGAGAAAACAAAAATTACAAACTTGGAGTTATAAAGATTTTATGTGCCAAATCATATAATGTGTACCACGAATATATGCAGAGATAAGTTGGAAGAGGCCAAAGACAGTGGAGTTAAATAAGATTTGGTTTTTAGTCAAGGGGTTTAAGTCTAATTTTCTATACTATACAACTGTTTATTATGAACCAATTATTTTAAACCCAATGGAATGATTGATGACTACCTTATATGCCATCCTATAGCCTTCATCCAGTAACTGGTAGAAGGAAGGGAGAGGGAGAAGGGACTTACATGTGAAACAAGCTTGTTCCCTAACGTGAACTAAAAAAAAAAGGTGCCTAGGTAGATGGTGGGAATGGGTTACACGGAGCCTGGTGGACCCGGGACAGTAGTCAGCTTGTATCTTGCATGCTTGCTAGCACATGGGTTTTGTTTCAGGATGAATGTGGCCTACTATATTTACCTACTGATAGCCTTACCCTGGCTGTAGGGCTGAGAGACACTGTTAGGAAGTGGGTACAGATGGAATGGAGACCGAGCAGAAATCACCTATCTGTGGGAATTAATCTTGGCAGTGTGAACTAGACTCAAATGGCCCGAGATAGGAAATATTTCTTGATTAAGCAGGAGAAGAAAATAAAGGGCAGGAAACCCACAGAGAAAGGCTTCCCCAATAAAAAACAGATAACGGAGATTAGATATCCCAGGAAGTTGAGGCTGAGGAGGTGACTCAGTGGTTAAGAATACTGACCACCCAAGAATAGGAGAGAGCAAGAAAAGAGATACCATAATAGAGGGAGCCATTATAGGTTTAAAGAGAAATCTGGCACTAGTGATGTGTCCAGACATCCACAAGGTTGACCCCAACTAACAATCTAAGCAATAGTGGAGAGGCTACCTTAAATACCCTTCCCTGATAATGAGATTGATGACTACCTTATATGCCATCCTATAGCCTTCATCCAGTAACTGGTAGAAGGAGAAGCAGACACCCACAGTTAAACACTGAGCTGAACTCCTGGAATCCAGTTTCAGAGAGGGTGGAGTGATGGGCAAAGGGGTCAAGACAGGCTGGAGAAACCCACAGAAACAGCTGACCTGAACAAGGGGGAGCTCAGGGACCCCAGACTGATGTCTGGGAAACCAGCATAGGATTGTTCCAGAGCCCCTGAACGTAGGTGTCAGTTAGGAGGCCTAGGCAATCTATGGGGCCTCTGGTAGTAGATAAGTATTTATCCCTAGCATACGAATGAACTTTGGGAGCCCTCTCCACATAGAGGATACTCTCTCAGCCTAGACACACTGGGGAGTCTAGGCCCTGCTCCAAATGATTTGACAGATTTTGAAGATCTCCCATGTAAAGCCTCACTGTTCCTGGGGAGCATATAGGGAATGGGATAGGGGGTCGATGGGGGCCAGGGGAGGAGTGGAGGGAGTGGTAACTGGGATTTACATGTAAAACAAGCTGGTTTCTAATTTAAATTTAAAAAGAACACTGGCCACCCTTCCAGAGGACCCAGGTTTGAGTCCCAGTACTCACATTGCTGCTCACAACCATCTGCAGCTCCAATCCCAGGGGATCCCATGCCATCTTCTGGCTTTTGTGGGCAACAGGTGCATACATAGGGCATAGATACACATGCAGGCATAGCATCCACACACATAAAAGAAAATAAGAAGTCCCAGACAGTTGTCATTAATGAAGTGGCGGGTGTCTACATCAGAAGCTGCCGAGCAGCGAATGTCAGTGTCATCGCAGACGGCTGATGTTCACGACAGTTTGTGTGGTGTGGAGGACTCAGAAGGCATTACAATACGGAGGGAAGGAGAGAACAGGGGAAGGAGGAGCACAGCCAGGTGGGAAGAACATCTGCCCCTCTTCGATCTTGTCCTATGATAGCTGTTGCTCTCCCTGCAGCAACTCCCAGCACTTTCATTGGTTCATGTGCTTTCGTCAGCTTATAAATATGCTTGTATCTGTCTACTCAACAATGATGTATTTACCTTCGCCCTTCGCCTTGGCAGAAGCTTGAAGAGATTTGTTTGACACCATGTCCATGGTGTACCTTTTCTTTGGTGATGGACCCATGGCTTCTCCTTCTCCAACACGCCTAACTTTTTGTTTAAGCATTGTGTGGCGCTCCCTTTTCCAGGCTTCTTGCCCTAGAAAACAGCAATGAAAATATACTATTTCCTGGGTCTACTGGGGCACATATTTAATCCCAGAGCTCAGTAGAGGCGGGGGGATCTTTGTGAGTTCTAGGCCAGCCTGGTCTACATAGTGAATTCCAGGACACCTGAGGCTATGTAGGAAGACCCTGTGAAAAGAAAAAAAAAAAGAAGAAAGAAAGAAGGAAGGAAAGAAAGGCAAAAACATAATGTTTAACAAACTGCAACGACCACAACATTGAAAACATAGGACATGTATGAGATAAGATGGATAGGAAGTTTCCTCCAAGTGACTCTGAAAAAAAGAAGAGTCGGGAAAACATGGAAATCCAATAATTGAGGAAAAACAAATTCGGTTAAATCTAAAAATACCAAAATGTTTCAAATGGACAAAGAATTCTACCGTACAGTTTTAGAAATTATCCCTAGGCTTAAAGAAGCAATTAAGAAGTGAGTTCATGAAGTAGATGAAAAAATGGCAAATGCCAGGCCTTGGTGGCCCACGCCTTTAATCCCAGCACTCGGGAGGCAGAGGCAGGCGGATCTCTGTGAGTTCGAGGCCAGCCTGGTCTACAGAGTGAGTGCCAGGATAGGCTCCAAAGCTACACAGAGAAACCCTGTCTCAAAAAACAAAAAAAAAAGGCAATTGAAATAGAGATCCTGGGGAGACAGAGGCAAACAGAAACCTTGGAAATGCAAAGGTCGATGCATCAAAGAAAACATTTAACAGACAGCAACTAGTGCAGTGATTCTCAACCTGTGTGGTTGGGACTCAAACCACCCTTTCACATGAGTCTCCTAAGACCATCAGAAAACACAGGTATTTCCTTATGATTCATAACAGCAGCAAAGTTACAGTCATACAGTAGCAACAAAAATAGTTTTAGGGTTGTGGGTCACTACAACGTGAGGAACTGTGTTAAAGGGTCGCAGGATTAGGAAGGTTGAAAAGCACTTCTGTAGATCAATCATAACAAAAGATTCCAGAAATTAAAGACAAGATTAAGGAATTATTACTTTCACATAGCAAACAAACAACAACAGCAGCGAAAGCCCCACAGCAATCATGACTACAACTTGCAGGAATGCTGGGACATGCTGAGGAGACCAATCCTCTGAAATTTTGCCTTAAGAAGGAACCAGGTTACAGTCTAAGCTCATAAGCTATTCCATGGAAATCCCGCAGAAAATCCCCCAAATCATGGAAAACATGTGGCTATGCAAGTAAAGGAGGAACTTGGAGCTAGACATGACCAGAGAAGCGCCTCTCCATGTCACCTCACAGTTCTAATATTGAGCAGAACAAAGAAAAAAAAACTGGAATCTGCATGACAGAAGATCCAAGTTAGGCACAAAGGCAAACCCATCAGGGCATCAAGGGACTTCTTTGTAGAAATTCTAATTGACGAGAACCACAGGCTGACATCTTTTAAACCTTAAACATCAGTAATTGTCAGCCCAGATTACTATGCCAAGTAGATTTATCCTTTAAAATCAGGAGAAATGAAGTCCTCCCATGATCGGCTTGAACTAAAACAATCCACCACTACCCAGACATCCTGAAAGAAGACAGTAAGGAAAGAATACTACACACAGAAGAAAAAGATTCACAGCAGCATGAGAGTGTGGGGAAGAAAAAAGTTATCATTAAAGAATAGAAAGACAAACAGCAATTTTGAAAGGGGCTAACATTTTTACCTCAGTGAACACACAAAGCTTTAAGATGAACAAAGAAGAAATCGGTACATACCTTGCAGTGATCTCTCTGAATATAAATGTTAACTCTCCAGGAAATATGCAGCCTGAGGGTTGGGGAGACAGCTTGGTGTGTAAAGTGGCTGCTGAGCCAGCACGTGTACCTTAGAAACCGTCAGGTACAATGGCATGCATATGTAACCTCAACACCGGAAGCCAGAGTGGCAGAAACAGGACAGTCCCCGGGGCTAGTTGGCGGGCTGGTCTAGCCAGATCAGTAAGGTCCATGTCCACTGGGAGACTCTGTCTTTAAAAAACTAAGGTAGAAGGCACTAGAGGAAGACACCTGACGTCATTCCCTGGCCTCTGCATGCACAGACATGCATAGGTGAAGACACCTGATAAAAATGTGCAAGCACTAAAAATAAGCAGAATTGAGAAATGATAAGAAAAAAAAGAAAAAAACAAGATTCAACCGTGTCCCGTCTCCAAGAAACTTACCTCCTTGTCAAAGATTAAAAGACAGCACGTGAAAGTTTGGAATATTGTCTTTCCAGGCAAACAGAATCTTCATATAAGCAAAAGCAGCTCTACTCCTATCTGGAAAAGCTGACTTCAAGACGAAAACTGTAAGGAGAGATAAAGAAGGTCACTGCATCTTAATAAAGAGAACAATCCATCAAAAGATTTAATAATTGGAAGTACACATGGCAAATGTTGGAGGGATGATACAAGAGACTTCATGGAGTGCTGTGGACCAATAGTGAGCCCACATTTGAGTTCCCTGCTCCTCTCCCCTTATCTTTCATCTGTCTGTCTGGAGTTTCTGATCTGGGGCCTGACTGTGGTCTGTCTGCCGCATGTATGGTGTCTGACTGTCCCTAACAAAGGGCTTTGCTCTGTATTTATTTAAAAGCACAGAAAACATAGTAGGGGGAAGGAATGAGAAATTCTTTTCTACAGAAATCTTTAACCGAGTTTTGCAAGGGAAGAAATTACTTAACTGACCCATGATAGCGTTCAAAACTGCAGAGAGATGTTATCAACCTAGAATATCCACATGCTGCTTCCAACATTTACGGGACATTTGTCATGTAAGGTTGCTTTGAACTTGTTAGCGGCTTTCAGCATATGATTCCCACAACATACACACATACATTATCTACATTATCCTTGATAAGGGGCACAGAAGCATACATACTTTAATATTAACGCTGTACATGTCGCTTAGGTAGTAAAAGCTGATGGCATGGAAAATCCAGTTCATAGGAATGTTGGTTACGTTGTTTTCTCACACTCAAGTTAAACTGAGTGTTTAAGTTAAGCTCAAGTTAAGCTGAGTTCACACTAGAAGAGCAGTTTATATATGTAGTTTTAAATAATCTCAAGACATAGCATCAACTTGGTTAGAAGATCTGGGAAAAGTTCAGTATCTTGAGGCAAGAGGTATTTTCTATAAAAACTGTTCCCACATTGGTACAATCAGTTTCATCGCTCAAGAAGTACTGGTCATGAAGAGAGATCTGGATACAAGAAGAATGACTGACTTCAACACCACATTTCATCAATTAATAGACCATGGGTCTGCAGCATAGCTCAACTAATACAAAGTCATTGTGGTGGAAGGAGAGAACAAACTCCCAACTTCTACACATTCAATGTGAATATCAGTAAGTAGCAATTCACAAAATCCAAATTCAGAAATCAGTAGCTTTGTTACACACTGATAATAGAGTGAAAATGAAGTCAAGGAAACAGTTCCATTTCAATAGTCTCTATACACACCTAGGCATAAACCTCGCCAAAGGAATAACAGAGTTCTACCATGAAAACTAGAAAAGACTGAAAAGATAAATTTAAGAAAATGCTAGCTGGAGAGATGGCTCAGTGGTTAAGAGCATTGGCTGCTCATCCTTAAGTGCAAGGTTCAAATCTCAGCACTACATGTTGGCTCACAGCCTTCTGTAACTTCAGTTCCAGAGGATCCAACATGTTCTTCTGACCTCTACAGGCAGCAGAACGGACACACATGTGGTGCACAAACACTCATATACAGAAAAGAAATAATAAATTAATAAAATATTCAAAAGAAATGCTAGAAGATGGAAAGACTTCTCATGTGCATGGGTTAGTTGGCAGATATCATGTTGGTAAATTTGCCATATTACCTAAAGTGATGGACAAGTTCAATGTCACCCCCCCACCCAAATTTCAGTGACACCATTCACAAAACTAAAAAGAACTACAAAAATCTAGATGGAAGCCCAAGGCACCAAATAATAATAGTATCAATCCTCACTAAACAAGAGCAATAATGGAGGCATCACAATCCCTAAATTCTAATTCTACTGTATACAGAATCACAGAGACAAAACATCTTGTGCTGGCACCAGAGGGAGAGAGACATGGAGGGGAGGCAAGACGGGGGGAGAGAGAGAAATAAGAAGACAGAGACTGAGAGAAAAACAGGAGAGAAGAGAGGAGATGAAAGACAGAGACACAATGAAACAGAATAGAGGACCCAAGAAATAAGACCAATAAATAGAACTATTTCTCAGCAAAGGTGCCAAGATACATGATGGAGGAATGGAAGCCTCTTCACCAGGTGGTGCTTGACAAGCTGAGTATCCACACGTACAAGACTCAAACCAGACAGACTGAAACTCAAAATGGATTAAACTATGACCTGAAACCCTGAGACTGCTACAGGCAAACAGGAATAACACCTCAAGATATAAACACAAGGACCTTTCAAATATGATATTACTAAGTCAGGGGAGAAAAAAGAACTGGCAGATGGTGTTGCATCCACCTGGAAAGCTGTGTGCAGCAAAGCAAACAATTACAGAGAGAAGACATGGGACACAAGCTGGCGTCATGGATGCTGAGTGTAACCTAGTTTGGAGACAGAGGGAGGATTGCTGCAAGTTTGAAGCCAGTCTAGGCTAGAATGACACCCGGACTCCAAAGCAAATCAAAATAAAACGAAAGAAAATAGAACCACGGGAACAGACATGGTGAAGTGGGAGGGAGGTAAATGCTATGAAAAAAATTTCACTTCGGTTTAAAATCAGAGATAAAATAGAATGTAATAAAATTCCCACGGAACAGAATAGCTGAATGTTTTTGCATTTGGTAAGATTCATCGGAACAAAAATTGAAACCTTTGTATCCACAGGCTTCTGGTAAGGAGTCTTCCCTAACATTTGGGCGTGGAAAAAATGTGTTACACAAATTATTTCATAAAACAGAAAAAAGCAGAAAAGTTTCTGTTTTGTGAAGCCAGCAGAAGCTGATACCAACCTACAAGATGTAGTGTGTGTGTGTGTGTGTGTGTGTACAAGTGTGATACATGTGTGAAGGTCAGAGGACAACTTGTGGGTTCTACCAGGTGAGTTCCACCACATGGGTACCAGAGATTAAAATGAAGTCATCAGCCTTGGCAGCACGCACCTTTAATCCTGACCCATCTTGCTGGCCCTGAGATGAACATCTTAAATAAAAGATTATCAAACAAAAACCAAAGGTGGGTGGAAACCACGCAGCATGTCACCTACAGTTCAATGCAGAAAGGCAAGGCTGCTTTAACCCCAATCAATTTTAAGCGCAGGAAAGAGTCAGGGAAATAGCAAGTCATTTTAAGTTCAAATCCTCTTGTGATCTGAAAGGAACAGCAACTGACAATACAAAAACAGCTCCTGTAACCTAGTGAAGTGTTTCTATCAGATACGAAATTACCTGTTTTTTTCTCTCCTATGACAGTCTAGATTTTATCACTATGTGTGCACAGCAGGAAGCAGCAGCAGGCCCTTTTGGACGGAAGAAGTCCAGGAGCAGAGGGAGGAAGAAGGGACAGCAGCTGGGATGGCCAGTGAACATGAGCACAGTGCAATGATGCAGGAGGGATGGGATCTTGATGACACCAGATATTATGATGCGGTCTAGCCTAACAAGTAATACTAAAGTATAGGCAGGGCATGGTAGTGCAGGCCTTCAATCCCAGTGCACAGGAGCAGAGGTAGGAGAATCTCTATGAGTTTGAGGCCAGCCTGATCTTTATAGTGGGCTCCAGGACAACCAGGACCATATAGATTATCTCAAACCTCTCTCTGCCTCAAAAAAACCAACCAAGCAAATAAATAGATAATACATCAAACAAATAAACAAACAAAAGCCCTACTCTATGGCAATGTCAAAATTCACTTAAAAATAATAAGCATTTTCTCCCTAAAATCTTAAAACAAGTCAAAGATGAGTGAATACTCTACCCAATAACATGTTAGACATCTTGATACTGTGGCAGAAAGGCTGGAAAGGAATAGTGGGAGTGTCATTACCTACAGATGACATTCCTATATAGAGACAGCATTTACAATGATATAAAACAAGGGCTGGAGAGATAGTTCAGCAGTTAAGAGCACTGGCTGCTCTTGCAGAGTACCTGGGTTCAATTCCCAGCACCCACATGGCAGCTCACAGCTGTCTGTAACTCCAGTTCCAAGAGCTCCTACACCCTCACACAGACATACTTAAAGGCAAAAAACCAACCAAAACAAAAACCCTACCAATGCACATAAAAGAAGTAAACGCTAAAAAAATTAATAAAATGTTTAAAATGATGTAAATCCCAGGGGTAAAAAGATGGCTCAGAGTAAAGAGCATGTACTTGTCTTCCAGAGGACTCAAGTTCAATCCCCAACATTTACATTTGGTTGTTCACAACCATCTGTAAGTCCAGCTCCAGGGGGATCCTCTGGCCTCAGTGGGAAACTGCACTTCCATGCACATATTCACACAGACACATAATTAAAAGTAATACATTTTTAAAAAAAATAAAATTATATAAAGCCAAGGCTAGAGAGGTTGGCTCAGTGGTCAAGAATGCTCTTGT